GAGATAAACTTAAGAAACAACTGTCAAAAAATCACTGCCTAGAATTTGAAAATTATTATAAAACATACAGAAATAATTTAAAGAGACTAATAACAAAAACAAAAAATGATTATTATAGAGACAAAATTAATGAGAATAAAAACAACCTAAAGAAAACTTATGAAATTATAGCTGAGGCAACCAACAATTCCACAAGTAAATGTAATAGTAAGATACAAATAACTAACAATGAAGGTAATGAATTTGAAAGTGACATGAGCATGGCAAATCATTCTAATATAGTTATTTTCCTAACAAGTGCGCAAAGTGTTACTTTTCCGCACGCAAACACAGTTATACGAACGACGCGAAGCGGAGTTCGGATAAGTGTTACGTGCGGAAAAGACACTTTGCGCACGTGTTAGGAACTAAATTTTTCCTACGAGCTTCATATCAGGTAGGTAACAACCAAAATTTAGAAAAAAAAAACAATAATTTGTTCAATTATTTTTAATTAACTTGAAGCGAACCTATGCAGTTATCAAAAAATTACATAAGAAGAAAAAAAAATAACAGAAAATCATCGTCAGAGCCCTTTATCTTAAAACGTTCAAATTTGATGAGAAAGTTTGTAAATTCTTGCATATCAATAGAGAACAAATCTGACAATGCGTCAAAGTTAATTAAATTTGGTGTTTGTATAGATGTTGGCTGATATAGAAACAGAGGAAAAATTTGTCATCATGTGTCAACGTCGACAGGTGCACTTATTGTTGCTTGACAATTATTTTTACTTTTCGGCACTCAGTGCGGATAAGGCCTGTATCCGCACTGAGTGCGGAAAAGTGCAACTTTGAGAACCGAAATGCGTGCGGAAAAGTACTACTTTGCGCACGCTCGTAGGAAAAATATTTTTCCTCTATCGGAATTAATATGCATAATAGCATACCGGATAATAATATAAATTATTCTATTCCTACAATAAATAAATCAATGTTTTTGAACCCTGTATCAGAAAATGACATTATCAAACATATATCTAGCCTAAAAAATAACAGTGCCCCTGGTTTTGATAACATAACTGTCAAACATCTCAAACTATTGCATATATACTTAGTTAAACCAATTAGACATATTATTAACTTAATTTTCTCAACAGGCGAGGTGCATCAGAATTTAAAAAATCGATTATAACACCAATTCACAAATCGGGAAATCGGAACATAATTAATAATTACCGACCCATAAGCCTTATAAGCAATGTAGCTAAAATATTTGAGAAGTGTCTTAAGGATAGATTGATTGATTACCTAAAGGCGAATAACTTAATGCCAAAAAATCAGTTTGGTTTTATGGAAGGTTTAAATTCCAGTGATGCTATGCACGAACTAATATCCCATATAGCTGATAATTTAAATAATAACAAGAAGTGTATTGCAGTGTTTCTCGACTTGGCAAAGGCCTTTGATACGGTTCCCCATCAAAAGCTTCTTAATGTGCTTGAGCATCTTGGGATCCGGGGTATTGTGCTAGAGGTCTTTAAAAATTATCTAATGAACAGAGAGCAATCAGTTAAAATTAGAGACTGCATAAGTGATCCAGAACCTGTTCTTATTGGTGTACCACAAGGCACTGTACTTGGGCCAATTTTGTTCAATTTATATCTCAAAAATCTATGTGAGATCAATATACAGGGGAAAATAATCTCATACGCAGATGATACAGTAATCGTGTTCAATGGGCAGAGCTGGGATGCGGTCAAGTCATCTGCACAGGCTGAAATTGAACAAGTCAAAAATTGGCTTAACCATTTTAAGCTATCATTGAACATTGATAAAACAAATTTTATAGCCTTCTCAAAAACACAGGCGGATCGTCCTATTTTCAATGAATTAATTTGTCTTAACTCAATAATAAAGAGAACCGATAGCGCAAAATACTTAGGAATTGTCATAGATCAAAATTTAAAATGGGAATCACATATCCTATACATAACCAAAAAACTTAGATTCCTAATATATAAGTTCTATTTAATTAGGCAATTTCTTAATCAGAGTTTGCTTGTGACATTATATCTCAGTTTGGTAGAATCTGTAATAAGATATGGTATATTGGTTTGGGGTGGGCTATATGAAACTACATTAAGTCCTTTAAATATCATACAAAAAAAAATCTTAAAAGTAATATTCAAGAAAAAACCTCGGTACCCATCCTTATTGCTATATAACCCTAAAATTGTAAACATTAGATGTTTATATATACATACAGTTTGCTGTTATATAAGAAACCATGATGAAATTAATGGAATTACAATAGATCATCACTATCAAACAAGAGCAATCTTAAATGAGACCATCAAAGTTCCCAAACCTAACAGCGAGTTCTTTAAAAACTGCTGTAACTTTCTTGGTCCTAAATTTTATAATATACTTCCTACCACTATAAAAAACCTAGGCAAGAAGAGGTTCAGTAAACCCTGCAAATTGTTTATCTATGAAAACTTTTATAATTATTTTAATACAATTTTTACCGATTAGATTTGTATCCAAAGAAGTTTTTGTAATAGTGGTGTCTCATGCTCTCACTGACAATGACAGTGCTATAATTATAATTATAATTGGATTTAGTATTAGTACTGTAAATTGGTTTAGGTCTTTAAGCTTTTAATATAAGTACCTAAGTATGGGCAATTCTTCCTTTTTCTGGGAACATTGTTGAGATAATTAATAATAACTTGTGTCCTATAATTTTAAAACCCATAAGACACATACAGATACATATGTATCTAGGTGTCCTTTTCTTTTTCTACACAAATTATATTATATTAAAAACGATAATGATGTAATAGATAATAATTATGGCCTTTTTCCTCTCCTGCTATTGTAGGCATGTAGGTAATTTGTAATATTGTAATCTGGTTTGTAATTAATTATTGTTAATTTGCCGTTGAAATAAATTGAAATTGAATTGAAAAAAATTGAAAGGTTATAACTTGATGAAATCGTAATTCTTTGTTACACAGATGTATTTAAAAAAACCAAGATTTTATACATAAATAGTTTGAAAATATTGGAACAAATTAAACTAATTCATAGCATGAAACCCAACAATATCAAAACGAATACTCTAAACTGAACAAGTGCAGGACATCCATTGTCATAACATAAGAATGGAGGGGTACCTAAGAAACCAATATGCGAGGACAAAAAAGCTCAAGACTCTCCTATATACAGAGGCATCGGAGCATACAATAAAATACCTGAAAGTGTTATAAATGCCAAGAAAACCCAAGAACTGTACCGAAATCTTAAAGTTTATTTACAACCTTAACTTAAAATACTTTATATTGCCTTATTACAATGTTAATGTATAAGTTATATCTAACTCAGAATTAATATTCCTGATATGTATAAACTTCTTTCCTATGCCCTGTGACCAGTATCAATACTGTTTTGGGGTCATGAATAAATAAATAAATAAAAAAAGATCTAAGGTAGGTCCTCGTAGCGCCACTATCAGTGCTGTTGCTTTTTCTTGATCGTTCCAACCGTTGGTATTTGCAGCAGCTTCAAGGACGTAGAGCCGTTAAAAGTTAGTGGTTTTATCTTCATACTAGAGAATGCCCCAACACTAACTGTATTGATGGATCGTATTTCTAATTTATGTACCTTATCTTCAAGTTCTTGAACTTGGTCCTCAACTTCTTGCCCTAATTGCTGAACACCGGCTTTGACCTCAGCTTTTACTTCCTGAACGTCGTTTTTAACTTCTCGAACATCGTCTTCAACTTCGGCTTTTACACAAATCCGTGTATGGTTTGAAATATTTTCTGTAGTTGTCCAAGGTCTTCTTGCCGTTCTTTTTGTCGTCTGGCCTTTTTGTTCTTCCATTTTTGCTTGTTGTCTCGTAATAGGCATATACAGAATGTTCTAGAATTTCCCTCAAACTTTCTTCAAATATCTTTCCTGGTCTTTGCTTGAAGTTCCAAACACGCCGGTGAAGTCACAAATTGGATAACTTGCTTTATTCTCGAATAGAATGTTCTAAAATTTTCTTGAAATGTCTTTTCTGAATGTCGATTGATAGCAAACACGTCGGTGAAGTTACAATTTCGATATCTCCCTTGGTTTCCAAATAGAATGTTCTAGAATTTTCCGCAAACTCCTCGAAAAACTTTTTCTGAGTGACGATTGATGTTCCGAATATGTCGGCGAAGTCACAAATTCGATATCTCCCTTAGTTTCCAAATAGAATTTTCTAGAACTCACTCGAAGATTCACTATCACAGTCAAAATCGGGTATAGAGTCACTTCCAGGGTAATTTACATGATCGGTTAAGTATCTTTTGGTGATTGTCACTGCTTACACTGACTCACTGTCCCAATGGTCACTTAGTGCCCGCAGTAGTCCGCACTATTCTGCAATCGGATTTCACCAATGTCACTCAGAGCAGAGATGGGATGCGTGACAATAATCTTGGGTTCGTTTATTCCAAAATCTATTCACTAATTAACTCTAAAAATAAAATAAATTACAACTCTTACAAAATTCACTATCTAAATCGTTTCAAGGTCAATCTTAAACTTAAAAACTATTAACTAATACCGGCCTCTATATATCCGTAATCTTTTCTTGCAAAATCCAGAAAAAAAGCGATAGACCTCTTTCCCGAAACGCAACGTAAAATCTAGAATCAGTTATCGAATTCTGTACACCGTGGCGGAAGCGCCACTTTCTATGAGAATATTATAATATTTAACAATATTTGTGTATGTAGATTCTAGATATTAACAACTAAAAAAATGCGCTTTTTTAACTGGCCGTGGATATCAATTTAATAATCGGCAACGGCAATGTTCAAGAATAGCTAAAAATCATAAAAAGGTATTGGTAAAAAATCACTAAATTTTCTTCTATCATCCACCACCCATCGGTATGTTTGTTTATGTTATCATGTTGTCACAAAGGACCCTGATTATTTGGTAAACTTTCTCTTCAAGTATTTCTGATTTTGCCCTCAGGATCGAAAGAAATTTTTCCCACCAAGGCCCAGAAGAAACAGACGAAAGAAACAACAGGATCCTGTCAAGTTGGCCACCTTACGCAATTGTTTGAGCGGATTGTCTCAAGATTCGGGGATCGGATCCAGCCAGGAGTGTCCGCCACTTGGATTAGATCAAATCGTCGTTCCGGAGTTTTTGAACAACGCAGGTAAATGTCTTATTTTATTTAATTTTGAGTAGTGTTTATGGTATTTGTTGGGAAGTTTATAATTGAATGTAGAATATTATTGCTTTTCAATGTGTTGTCCCACAAAATTCCATAAATCCTTCTTATTGAGATTCATTATTTTTTAATAATGGTTGCCATGTAGTTAGTAGTGAATTGAACATTAAAATTGGTTAAAAGCTGAATCATTTAACTCAATATGATTACAGTTATCAAGTTTATTTAAACATGATTTCCTAATTTATGAATTCGAATACAATTAGTTTTTTTCACTAGGTACGTCAAAATCTGCAGATTTACCATCAACCCTTACTAAACTAAACAATACAAAATCCTCTGCAAAATCTGAATCGTTAACAAACATTGTAAAAGAATCGGCATCAACTTCTATGTCGTCAAATGCTAAGGGATCTACTTTAAGACGGAAACGGCAAAGCTCAGAGAACAGCCTTTCAGACTATGAAGTAAAAAAAACAAAACTCACCCCCAAACCTGATAATATCACTTTCGATCTGGGCTCTGAAGTTAGTAGTTCTACTTCATCTTTTACCTCTACCATATCAACTCTCTCCGTGGACCAGAATGGGATTCAATCTGAAAAATCTTCAGAGAAAAACAGCAGTTTTGTTTCTGATATAGGCTTCAATTCGAACAAGTCCGGTGGTAGTATCGATTTGGAAAAAACGAATAGTTTCAGTTCTGATAAAACCGAGTCTGATCTTTGCATGTTTTGCAACAGCGCTCCCAAGGACAGCATATTTTTGCACGCTAAGATTGCGCATCGCTGCTGCTGCTATGCTTGCGCTAAGAAAACTCTAAAATCCATCAAGAGATGTCCAATATGCAACACGTCAGTTAATAAGGTAGTCAGAATATTCACTTGTTAGGTAACTACGGAGGTTTATGTTTTTTTTTTTTATAAAAGTGTTAAAGATGCTGATAATATACAAATTTTATTTTTATTATATTTTTTTGAAAGGGTATTTCATAAAGAAGTTTGTTTTGTAGGTTAAAAGGAAAAAGGATTTGTCAACTAATTCAGATTTTTGTTTATGTTAATTGGGTTGTAGCAGTTCATGCATTGCGCATAAATAAAATATTGTATATACATACGATAATCTACATATTGTGATAAACTGTGTTAAGGGGTACTGAAACTAGATGCTCATATCTATTTATGTGTTTATTTTCTGCCAAATATTAAAATTGTTGATCTCTGAAGTAAAAGACCTGTTTTTTTTTTTTTTAATTTAGCTTTGTTAGCAGGGTTGAGAAGATTATTTTTTTTGCCATATTATAATTGAATTGTGAATCTGAATTACATATTTTTGATAGGTTAGGGACCATAATAATAGATAATATAGGTAGCAAGGTTCGCATTTGCAAGTGTTGCGCTTTCAAAACATCATTGTATACCTTTTTAGGCGCCCTTTCAGCAATTGACATGCAACTGTAGAATATGAAGTTTTATTTTATTTGTTAAATTGAATATAATATGTAGTTTGGTTTTATATTTAATGTGAAAATTTGTATAGTATTTCTTAAAACAAAATTTAGAATTCTAGTTTTTTGTGGCGCCTCACTGGTATTGTTTCAAAGTCTTACATTATTTTCAGCATCTTTAACACCACAAAATTGAGTATTCTAAAAAAAAAATCAAATTTAGGTGTACAGAATAAATTCTATTTATTCAGAGATTTATTATAATTATTAGAAAATAAAATAAAACCCTACAAAAATTTAAGAGTGTATAATAAAGACTGATTTTTTACTGTTACGTTTTTGTAAATAAGTAATGATAGAAAAATAATTTTTTTTTGTAATATAAATCTTCAAGTAAACAAAAATCTCTTAAATTTTTGATGTGGTTATATGCTTCTTTTACCTTTTCTTCTAATCCTTTTGAGAGAAAAGACACTTGTTTTCTTTTACTATAAAACAAGTTGTACTTTTATTCACCAAAAGCTTCCTTTCATTTAGCACAAAATTTCTTATACGAAAAACATTTTGGAATTGATTTTTATGATGCTTCATAGAATATTTAATTCCATGTTTCATGTATCATTAAATTAAACCAAGTTACGCAGCCGGGTTTAAAAAGATGTATTTGCGTACGAAATTTATAAAGTTTCCCATGGTGCAATTTCTAATATGTAAATCAATAAAAAGCCTCTTCACACAAATTTTTTTTTATTTGAACTCCTTGTTATTATTGAGACCTATATTTAAGTTTTTTTTTTTGCTTGGAGCAGTTTTACAGGTAGCTAAAATGATCGACAGTGTATATAGCAACCTTAGAGCTAGCTCTCTGTGGGCAGTAGTGAAAACTAGACTATTTTCGGCTAGGAAAATTGTTAACATTGGAACAAATATATTTTAAAGAATACCTTTTGCTATTTTTCTTCTTGTGGTTTTGAGTAAAAATAATGGAATTCTTTGAATATAAGCTCAAATTAGTATCAAACTGAAGGTGCTGAAGATGTTCAAAGGGAAAGGAAAAGGATAGAGTAATCGATTCATCGTTTGACAGGTGATGAATAGAATTCTTCCAAACTCATTGTCAGTCTTTTTGTGCATTTTCTTTGGACTCTGATCCATCCAACTTAATGAGTCTTTTCTACTTAACTGAATTTAAGTAGTTTTGAGGGAAAAATTACAATATTTTCAATAGATGGTGAGAGAAGTACATGCTTGCAGCGTTGCTTGAAGTACTTGTTGGGGAAATATTTTCTTTCAGCCTGGCTGAATATAATCTGTTGTCAGAAACCATTTCAAGTACGTACATAAAAACAAAAATCTAAAATCTAGCTCGTAGATAAAATGTTGCATATCATCATAGCACTCGTGTGGTAATATTATCCACTCTTTACTGTGATGAAGCTCATACCGTACTAGTAATATAAAGAACCATTGAAAAAATGTTAAAAAAAACCATAAGGAAAATTCAGAATTGATGCAGTTTAAATAATTCAATAAACATACTTGATTTAACGTGATATTTAAATTTAAACTATGGTTTAGATATTGTCCGTGATCATTAATTTAATGACTATGAAATTAATTAGAGATATTTATTATATTACTGAATTCAATTAAAGTAGTGGAAACAACACGAGCGTAAGGTATCTTTTCCGCACTTGTTAAGTAAATAACTATATCAAAAAAACTAGGTAGGTACTTTACAGAAAAGCAAAAGCCTACTGGATTTATTGTTGCATTCTCTCACTAGATGGCTCTTGGTGTCACACTTCATACATAGCACCTGTAAAGGAATCTTGAGTTTCCACTGGATTTTCCAGGAAAAACTCGATTCTAGTCTAGTGTGGCACTAACGTGGAAACTGTTGAAATATTTAAAATGAACGTAAATAAATAATTTTCTTGTTTCTTGACATCGTGGAGGCATCGGTCATGTTCGAAACAAGACGTGCCTGTGAAAAGCATCTCGATTTTTCAGGAAAACATCGTTTTTGGTGTGAAAACTGGTGAAATGGTGAAAGTTTAGCTATAATTTGATCCTAATTAGTTACTGGGTAAGGTAAGTGATTTGGTTATTCTTAATTTTGTATTTAGGAAGTTTCGATTTTCTTGACATCATGACGGCGTTGGTAGGCCTCCATTTTGTAGTGCAACAACTGAAAAATATTTTTTTGTACCAATGGAAAATTTCTTAAAATTATAATTAAATAATCTATAAAAAAAAAAATTTCCTTTATATGTAGAAAAGCTTCCTTTTATCCTTTTTAATTTGATAAATTAGGTACAGTTCGACGTTTTTAATTTGATATTTCGAAGGAATGTGAGCTGGTGGCTTCCTACAACGCTTATAATTTAGATTTTTGAAAACTTTGAAAATATCCTAACTTTTTTTTAATTAGGTATAGATAGAAAGCTGAAATTTTCTGCGATTCTTATCCTAGTATAGAGGACTACAAACCGTGCAAAATTTCAACTCATTTGGACTTATACCTAGTTCCTGAGTAGGGTTGCCAGATTGGAATATCTATAAATCGGGTATACCAATCAAAAAGCTGTTAAAAAATCGGGACGTTGAATAAAAATCGGTACACTTGTTTTTTTGAAGGAATAATTTAATATAAAGAAAATTAAATAAATCAAGGGGTGTTTCACCCACTAAATTTTATACACCTACTGTATTTGACTGCATTGATTGGATTGCATCAAAGATGATAGTTGACTGCATTTACTTCTGAGCAATATCTAACAAGATTACAGGCTCCACTCGCAGCGACTGCTTACGATTTTTCGCGAATGTATATGGAATGTACACTATTGCAAGTGACTGTATTATGATTGCATGCGACTGTATTATGACTGCATGAGAATGTATGGACTGCATATACATGAATGTATGAAATTTGTACACCTACTTCATGAGTGACACATCCCTCGAATAAAACTGAACAATAACTTCTAATAAAATTTGAAAATAAAAAATAACGCAAAATCGTCGAAACCAAAAAAATCTTGATAATATAGTAATAGATAATTAACAAGTAGCTACAATTCAAAAATAAGCGATTAATTTTTTTCAAATTTCAAATTTTTTTAACTTTTAAAAAAAATCGGGAAATCGGGACATTTAGCGTCCCGACGTATCGTCCATCGGGACACGGGACAAAATCTCCAATAACGGGACTCTCCCGTTAAAATAGGGACGTCTGGCAACCCTATTCCTGAGAAAAAATCGCGTTAAGGAATTTGGGATGAATTTTTGGATTCTTGACTTTTTCTGAGATTCTTTTCTCATATACAGGGTGTCCCAATATGACCGATTTTAATTTTTAAATGCCTATAACTTTCAAACCATGTGTGCTAGCTACCTGTGATTTGGGCCATTCGACTTTTCTTGGCCTAAAGTTTTTTTTCAGTTAGTTTCAATGTATTTCGGCTTCAAATCTCACAGTAAACCAGTGTATGTGGTTTGTGGCGTCCCAATTGATCGTCCAGTTGAAATCTTCACACAAAAAAAAATCGAAATTTTGACGGATGATCCTCCCTCTGAACTCTGAACATGAATTTTTAAAAACTGAATAATCATACTTTTGGGAGAAAATAAGTTGCTGACCACAATGCAAAAAAAACGTGCTGCCAAACCTAATTATTGATGGAATATAATGAAACTTTATATTTAGGCATAGTTTTTGAAGGGCTTTCTGCTGCTGCTGCTGCATAAATAATAAAAAAATATAAATATAAACCAATCAAAAATAATTAAAATTAAAGATAAAAAACTTCGTCCAGCTCCTGCATATTGGGTAAAGTGCCCAACACCGAAGCTTCATTCCCTCTCTGGATAGCTATGCTAATCCTCTGTAACAAGAACGAGGTGGCCCTGGTTTCATGACAAACAGATTTGATTCTGTCATCTAATTCTTTAAAAAATGATTTTGCTTTTTCACCCCAAGGACCAAAGGTTTTTACACAAAACCGGACAAAAAAAAAATTCAATATTTCAGAATATCTGTTTTAGGACCCCGCACACTTCTTACGGGATTTCTGACCGCGGTCAAATTTAACCAAATTTCAGTAGGTATGTTATAGATCTCACCTTTCTGATCAATAACTACCATGGGCACAACTCAATCCTATGACTAGTTTTTGAGATATCTACAGGTAGTTTCATGTCCAAGAAATGTACCCATTTTATACATTTATGACAGGACTGACAGGTAGATGCAAATGCATATAAAGTGGGTACATTTCTTGGACATTAAACTACTTGTATCTCAGAAACTACTCATAGGATTAAGTTGTGCCCCTGGTAGTTATTGATCAGAAATGCGAGATCTACACATACTGAAATTTGGTTAAATTTGACTGCGGTCAGAAAGAAATCCCATAAGAAGTGTGCGGGGTCGTTTACCAAATTTTTTCAGCCTCTCCGGCTTTTTTTGATGTCATGTTGACATAAGATGTAGCTAGGGTTCTAGGGTATGAGAGCAGGTTGCATCCCAAACCAATGGTTTACCTCTTTTCCATGTAATCAATGAGAGACCGTCGACTCGTTTCCTATCAGTTCTGAATATTCGTGGAAGTTGCAAGGCTGCGGATATCGAAGCGGAGACTAGAGCTCTTTTGATAATAGGTATCAGAAAGGCCGTGAAGCCCGTTTGGTAAAACAAATTTGCCGCAGCAACAGGTATGAGACACACACACAGGTTGACCAGTTCGAAAAGCTATAGAGATTTTAAAAGTAGAATCGTCCAGATGGGTACCCAAGGAAGATGAAGGTAGAGCATTAAACCAAGCTCCATTTTCTTTTTCTTGTAAAGCTAAAAGACGTGCTTTATCTAATTTATCAGTTGTTTCTAATAGTTGTAGCGGTAGACTTGGAATACAGCAAAAACGTTTCAAACTATGATAGAAGCAAACCACTTGGTATAGGCAATCTAAAGGTATAGGCGGTCTATATACATAAACAATCGATTTGACCCGCAGCACCTTATTTCAAGTGGCGTCTAATTCAAAATGGCGGCGTTTTCCAAAATTGTTGATTTCAAATGTTGGTTCTTTTGATTTATGTGGAAAATGTTTTCTAATTGGCCCCTATCAGCCGATAGTCAGTCCATCCGCACTTGTATAATGCAATGAATGCATACATCGTTTGGTCTCTAGAACGTATACATACAATTATATACCTAATCGATTAGTGTCAGTGCTTCTACCTAGGGTGTTCACAAGAATTCTTGAATTTATTCATTTGTCGAACAATTTTATTCGTTATTACAAGGTCATGTTCTGAGTATGTGGTTAGTAGGCGAAGTTCGTTCGAATCCATTTTTCCAACCCGATCCTTCCTTGCCGATCACGCCTTTTCATAGATCTGACTCTGTACCGACACGGGCGTTAAAAAAATTAGTGGTGAGACTGGTCTTGGTCTTGGTCTTGCAGAAAATGCAAGACCAAGACTTAGCATTGCAAGACTTACGCAAGACCAAGACCGAGCATGCAAGAATCTTGCGGTCTTGCGTTTTTGTTCCATTTTTTTCTGAATATTACTAAAAGTTAGTATTATCTATTCACAATCCGATGTCCAAAGGTAAAGGTAAAATTTATCACCTTTCAGTGCTATTTGAATGGGAAAGGTGATAAATTTACCTTTACCTTTAGACTACGGATTGTGAACAGGATATATTATGTATTATCCATTCACAATCCGATGTCCAAAGGTAAAGGTAAAATTTATCACCTTTCAAAGCTATTTGATAGGAAAAGGTGATAAATTCACCTTTACCTTTGGACTACGGATTGTGAATAGGATATATTTGATATAGTTGTTTGTAGTTGAATATAACATAATCTAACTATTGTTATAGGCTCTGTTACTGGTATTGGGGCTTACCCTATCCTAAAACTTTGGAGAATATGAACTATACTCACAAACACAATTATCAAACATATCTAAATATCCAATGTAAATCGAATTATTGTTTGAAAGTAAAAGATTTTTCTGTTC